TACTAATTATCCTAATGTCTTAATGGGCTAACAGTTGACCAGTAATCCTGTCACCTATAGTCATTATTATGGATAACATAAATATCAGAACCCCAGAGAAGTCAAGCATGTCAGTAGTTTATTTATTTATTACTCTCAGTTTTATTTAGGTTTGACCAAAGTGTCACTAAACTCATATTTTAAGTTATTCAGATTATTAAAAGATTAAAAACATGACAACATGAACACCGCAGCATCAACACATCCACCCACAGAGGAGTCGCCCACCCTCCCGCAGCGTTACGGAAATATCCTTTCGCCACCTTTGGACAGTGCAGAAACAAACACCGAGGCGACATGTGAGCGACAAAAGTGTGTGCGAAATGTCAGCGAGATGGTGAAGAAAAAGAAAAAAGTTAAACTTACGTGTTTATTTCATGTGTATCTGTTCAAGGTCGTGGTCGGCGCTGAAGTTTCCCTCAGCAAACTTGAGGCTCAGCTGAACGGCTGGTCGTTCCCTTTGGTCAGCTTGAGAGTGAGGCATCGTGGGACATGTAGTTTTTCCAATGACGCGCTATATTCCCAATTTAAAAAAAACTTAGAAATTTTACAAGCTGCTGATCAATTCATTGATTTGTTTTGGGGTCTGTATGTCTATTTGCATGTTTGTCCGTTTGTGTGATTATCTGCAAAATTACACCAGGCTAAATTTCATGAAATTTGGAGAAGTGCAAGATCGGCAAAAGAAGAACACATTTGGAGTGAACCCAGATCAGTTTCCTTGAAATTGCAAAAACAGTCTGTGGGGTAGAAATGGGCGGATCAATCCAAATATCTTAGTATCCATACTAACACTTGTATCAGTATTAGATCAATACTTGCACAAAAGGATCAATACTTTGTTTCCACCCTCTAAGTTCAGTATTTAACTCCTTATAATCTGTTAAATAAATGCTTTTATTTTGGAATTGAAAAAAATATATAAAAATAAAAATATATGGTATCAAATCAGTATAAAAATTTGGACAGAGAAGTGTTAAAAAACAAGAAAAAATAATAACTCAATCACATCCTACAGTAAAAATAAAAGACTATAGTATTTCGTTGACCATTCAACCCCAGAGAAACATCCAAACACTTTCATTTCCCCTGGTGTCATCTTTTGCATCTTTTAAATGACAGGATAGCATGTGCAAATTGATTCTGTTGAAGCAACTCGTCACATGAAAAGTATTTCAAGCCAGAGAAATCACATCACACCCTGTGGATATTTTTAGGCATCCTATCTGACGCTGTCTGAGCTTCCACAGGGTGTGACAGACAGGTAACAAACTTTCACTGTTGAATTAGATTACAAAAAGCTGTGAATGCAACGAGATGCTCCTCTAATAGGTAAATACATTTTAGCATTTATTTGACACTTGGAATAAACACATTTCAGATTTTTTTGATTTGCACGTCTCCTGCGTAACCACCTCTATTAGCGACAGCAACCTCTCTCTGTCTGATACCTGTCGTGTTGTTATTATGGAAGGGATGTCTGTAGCAGCTATATGTTATTTTAAGCTGCCTCTGTTATTTTATCTACGTCTTGCCAAGCTATAAAGGACTCCAACATGTGAGCAAATGCCGACCTATTTTAACCCTGAAAGCAAACACGGAGTGGATGTGATCACACGACCGATGCCGATTGTCTGAGTCTCTGTCTACCTCTAGTGGTGACACACTGAATCTGCCAAAAGATTTAAATTGTCTGTTTAATTCAGTGTTCAGTTACTTATGAGTTAACTTTTGTTTGAGGTGAAACAGCTCCCAATTTTAGACGGATTTATAACTTAGCTGGAAGATTCTGTCAGATTTGCGATACCAGCTAAGTTTCTGAATGGAGTTATTTTGTTTAAGACAAAATAGACAAGTGATCACAGTTCCATCATGACAAGTGAGTAAGCATTTGTCATTAGGCTTCATAAAAGGGGAGTACGTGAGCCAGCGTTGAGTGTGAGTTATTTTGTAAAATGATATTTTTAAAAGTCAACCTCATAGGAAGTTTTTCTGACTACATTTGTTACATTAACTTTTACAGTTTTCTAACACTAAAATTGTATTTTATACTCAAAGTACTAGGACATCTCTTACAGTACTCTTCTGTGCCTTTGCTCCATAACTTTTCCAAGTGGACAGCCACCACTCGAGTGTGCGTCTTCCATTTGTTAGAGATGATTAATAATTTACCACAGTCTCCATCAGTGCCGTCAGTTTGTGGTCTGCGCCAGGCCACTTCCTCTCCCGAGGACAATAGGCCCATTTCCTGTGGGCTGTGAAACAGGCGAGTATTGTAAAGCAGAGACATCATATCACTGTGTTTTGCCCTTGAAATGAAAGACAGACTTGGCTGTGTAGTCTGATTCATGACATGTTTGGTAGGAGGTTACTGGGTAAGTCTGGGGCCAAGACGACAGACATAACTGCAGACGATTCTTTGACCTGTGTGTACGCAATGTTAAAAAAGGAAACATATTTAGTGGGCTGTGTCTGGCATTATGTGGGGCATTTTATATCACCTGTGTCACATTACAAAAGCAGACACGTGAGCTTACTGAGTGTAACCGCACAGCCTCTTTAATGTTTCTACAGGAAAGCGTTACAAAAGAAAAGGCATCAAAAGCTGAAAGTTGGATCAGTGCTAAAACAAAAGTGTTTTGACAGACACAGCATGAGCTGCAGTCCCACTCTTTTAATTCCTGGCTAATTTTCAAAATAAAGAGCCTGCTGTGTTCTAGACAAAGGCACCATTCATGTCACTGCAGCCCCCGTGTCCAACATCCAGGGACATCTTAGAAAGCCAAAGTTAAAGGCTTGCAAAATAAAAGTTAAAGTCATACTTGTGACAGTAAAATCCAGAATCAGACAGCAAGTTGAAGTCACTGTTCCATTCAGTGAGCAATCTCATACTCATCAAGCCCCCCGAGCAGCTCGTGAAAAGCCAAGAGTGTCAATTGGGCCTGAAGCTATTTTTAAAGAGTGGACTGTTGGCCCTCACATTCACTCCGACAAATATAATGGCCTATATAATCAGCAGTGGCCTGATCTCCCTCTGCTGCTGTCTCTTTCTTTGTTGGAGGCACAGATGATAACTGTCACTGTGGTCACATAAGGGAGAGCCATGACAATACAGCCCGAGGCAGGACTGAGAACTCAGCCTGACCTCTATGAGTCCATCCAGTCTGAGTGTTTCATATCGACAGTTAGAGGAGCGTCTGCTCATAGCCAGTGTGCTGCATTGTTTTTAATATGTATTCACCAGAAATCTCATTTTCCCATTATTTACATTTATATATACTAGCACATGATCATCCTACAGGATTGTTGGCTTGTTTGCGCTTCTGGCCGTGAAATTAAAGCAATACAGTGCTTCTATTAGGCTTGGACATGCATAAATGCAATAAACAAATAAATAAACACATTAAAAATGGTTACATTTAGCCAAATACTCTGTGGTTGCTGGGCAACACATCACAATAACCCACCCACAATATCTCTTATAGATAAGAGCCTTAAATACGACCTAAGATATGTCAAGTTTGGCTGCTCAGTTCCTGATTGTGTAGGAGGACATGCACAGCACAACAAACAAATACAGAGACAGACAGTCAGGCAGAGATTTCAAGATAACCTGGACAAAAAATATATATATATATATACTTTAAACCTTAGTAGCCCAGAGGACTGGAAAGTTTTTGCCTGATTAGACAATTGGTATGACAGTAAACAGGGAAACAGGCATTGAGAGCTGTATTTGATTATCAGTGGAGTTGATTCCTTGAGGTTAAATGTCTAAATTAATTAAGTCGTTTAAATTCTTAATTTTTGCTAAAACATTTTGGACGCTTGTCTTGAAAAAATAAATATTTTTATGTCTGCTCCACACCAATTAATGATGTCTTTATTTATGTCACTCACTATTTCCTTTTGTAAATTTTTGAGTATATGGAGCTCAGAACATTATTATTTTTCCCACTTTGTTTTATTTTCATATACCTCTTCAAATTTTTATTATTAATGCATACTATCTATACTGTAGATATTATAATTTACCTTGTACAGATGGATTCTTAAAAAAAAAAACCATTGCAATGAGCTAAATGTGACCTAGTTTTTGGTTGGTTTGTTTGTTTGTTGGTTGGTGTGGGGGGGCTTCCTCTTCTCCGCATCATGTTCATGAGGGTAGATAAGGTGGGTAGATATGAAAACATTAGTGTATAGTACATCTTCACTGAGTTTTGTCACTGTTGAGATTTTTAATTTCAAAAAACAAATTAAGCATTTAAAAACTCAAAATAGAATTTTAGCTTCTGATTTCAAAACCTCTTTCTACTGAACATGTATTCATTCTGATGTAGTCTCGCTTCTCTTTCTGCCACTTCCCACATAGAGCTTAAAATAATGATGAAAACTCCACTATGTCAAATGCACATGACGCAGACACACATAATCAACATTATCAGTATCTCTGTCAACTGAGTGAGTATCGCTTCCCGACTGCTGTGACTCATTCTTTGGTCTGGTTTCGTGTTGTAACCGTAAGGTGTGGTCGATCGTCATACAGGTGAAAGACATGGCTGTTAGCGCTCGATTTCACAGTAGTCACTACAAGAAATAGAACATAAAACACACTTAAACAGGCTGCAATACATATATGTGGTGCTGTACACATTTTGTATACCGTGCTTTACAAAATCGAAAGTATTTTTTAATCGGTGTCAGTCAGTGTCCCTTCAAATAAAAGAATGAAGTTGACTTTGAAATATTCGCTGTTGTATCAAAGGGCAAAACAGTGACAATCTACGCACCGTAGCAACGGTACAATAAAGACAGAAGTAAACTTTTTAAACCGAACTAAACTGTTCAACTTCACAGTTTATTGTAGTGCCTAGCCATAAAATTCCCTCCCATTGTGGACGATGTGGGTGGAGTCTTCGAGGAGGCGGAGTCAGGGTGAGGTAACGCTCCTTTTACTCATTTTTTTTTGTTCAGAGGACTGGTGGCCAGCTGCAGGGAGGCAGAGTGTGGAGAAGTGAAAAGAAATAAAGAGCGGAGTCTTGTGCCGACCAAAGGAGTCATTAGAAACAAGCAAGCACGGAATAATCTAAAATACGGCCGTGTGTTAAGACAGGTAAGATTCACTAAATCGACCTTTTCCGACAGATTTTACTGCCCTTAGCGTCTGTGAACGCTTATTTATGTATTTATCGGTTTGTTTGGTGTGTAGTTATTATCGTTTATTCTATTAAAAAAAACATCTTATGTGTTTGTGTGGGGTAATTTCGTTTCTCTTTGTTGCTTACCTGGATGCAAATTCAGATGCTTTCTATTAGGAATTCATTTCCGCATGCCTCAAACCACTACTGCCTGTTGTTAGGGAGCAGCCTACTGCGCCAGCTCTACAGCCACCAAAAGTTTGTTCTCTTGTGGTGGACAGTTTTTTTCTTTCTTTCTTTCTTTTTAAACTTTTTAAAGTGCAAGAGCTCCCTTACTCTCTCTCTGCCCAAAGATAACGACATTTAGCCCCAGTATCGACCATACAGCTACACGTCGTCACTTGTCAATAGACCCCGTCGTGTCGTTGGTTGTTGGTGGTGTTGAAGATAAATCGCTTGGATTTGTGTGTTTCCGTGAATCGGAGACAAAAAAAAAGATTTTGCCATTTCTATTTCGTCCTTTAACAGAAATGGTGTAAAAGTCACACTGAAGCAGACCCAAAAACAAAAAACATTTTCCCCGTTAACTTATGAAAGATCAGTGGATTAACATAAAATTAGTAAGTAGGTGTTTTAATTGTCTAGTAATGGTGGGTATTATTCACTATTTTTAATGTCTTGAATGTCTATTTTTTTTATAAGAGGTTGGGGTTTTTGTTTTTTTTTTAGCTTTGGATGTGGTTGGACAAAAACAAGCACTTTCACATCAGATCTTCCGCTTTACCAACTATGACAGTGATGTTGAGTCTGTAAACAAACAGTGTTAGCTAACTGTGCCTGAGGGGATGAGTTGTCCGTGGGTGCACATCTGTAACGTATGACAGTGATACATGCTGATGTTTCTTTACCCACCCCCCACACTCCTACGCTGTGCTTCAAGGCAGCAGTGATGTCTCCAGGTGTTGCCAAATCTTCCATGATGTCATTACCTTTGCAGATTCTCAGGACTTGACAGGACAGCTAATCCTGCTTAGGGAGCACAGGAGCACAAATTTCTTTCATTTGATTTCATGACTAAATCCCCTGAAATCAGCATCCCGTTCAAATGACTTTTATCTTATCGGCTTTTTTCTTATGCGATTAAGTCATCTGCGGAGTCCTCTGCGGCCAACTTTAGTATAGTTTTAAAGTCCTAATTTGACACAGTTGGATTAGGGATTGGAAAGTAAACAGAGCCAATCACTACACCATCAAACTCCAAATCACATTATCCATTGTTCTTTTGTTTGAATTATCTGCAAGCGTCACAAAGCAGCAAGAACAGTGCCAAACAGGTTTGTGGTATCCAGCTGCTTTCTCTACCAATGTTTCCAGTTGAGTTTGCTGACTGTGTGCCAGCTTTAACGGGACAGGGTGCCAATACTTTGTGCCAGAATGGCCTTGCTGAGCTTGCCCTGTGTCATCAAGTAGGAAAGCTGTCCCTGTCTGGAAAGAGTGGATGGGTGGTGGGACAGCAGGGGGGTGACTTACTGTAGATTTCACAGCTACAGCTGTGGTGGCACGGTGATAATCTCCCCCCCCTCCTGCTTAATTCCCTCATACTGTCCTACATTAGCAGAACAAGAGGCCAGGAGATCCTTCGGTTTTAAAAATAGGTCTACACTCTTCAAAGGGGATTACTGTATGGCATACATCCCGCCCTCTTGGTTTTATTTTTTCTGTGGATTCCCCGTCTTGCTTCTGTCTCAGTCCAACGAGGCCTGAGTCCTTTCCAGTTACAGGTGCTCAGCGCACACATTGTGCGACCTCCTCTGTGTTTGTATGTCAGTCCGCCTTTGTGTTTTACTGTTCCCATGGAGAAAAGGGCACAGAGATAAAGTTTCCCGTCAGCTACAACAAGAGTTTCTTTCTTTTAAGGTTGTTTTTTGGGGTGGGTGGGTGAAATAAAAGTGAAGTGGCATGACCACACCAAATCTGCAAAGGGAAAATCTTTTTCTTTCTGATATTATTTATAGAATACAATACAGCTTAGATAAACTGCATTTTCACAATACAAGAATGTGCAAAAGACTGAATGAAGTGAAGGAATAGAAAAGTAATTTTATTTACACTCGACATCCAGTCTGAGTGCATGTTTAAATGTGGCGACTGTGCAGCCAGTGTGCACACTTCAGTATTTGACTGCTGCATTAACCATTGCACATATTGTTCAGGCCTACTAAACATACAGTATGTCATACGGGTACTGGCGTTCTTAAACTGTGACAGAATCTGTGATAAAATTTCTGTGGCCTGTTTCATTGTTGTCTTCCGTGCCGCGATATCGCTGGTTATGCTTGTATGATGAAACTGAAATATTTAAAATTCATTAAGGTACAGAGAGAACTGGAAATGCATCAGAATAACGGTGCTTATTTTCTTGGTCATTATCCAATCAAATGGTTATTCCAGCACCTGTTCTAAACTGGGTCCAAGCTAGAAATTATGTGGCCATTCCTTAATAACTGTTTTACCCTGCACTGCCACATGCTCAGCTGCTACACCCTGCTACATCTACAACACCCCCCAGCATTCTTTGTTTCTGCATTATGTTCTGCTAAAAAAGCTTTCATATAAGTCCAAATTAGACAAAATACACACATCTATTATTTGTTATCCCAAAGTAACCCCTCTAACAACAAGTGCTTCTATATTTTCAATCTTTTCAAACCAGCAATAACTCAAAATAAGTGGCAATTAATTTTGAAATGCATGACATTATCCTTGAATGCAGTTATTAAATTATTAGAAATGTCATCCAAAAATTGCCAGTGTTGTAAAAGATGCCTTCTGTCATGACCAAACTCTAACTTGAGTGTCTAGCAGGGTGCAGTTGAATAACGCTGAGCAAGTGAAGCCGACATTGCCCAGCTGAACTCTACTGATGACAGTCCCGGAAGTTAATTATTTACCTTCAGCAGTTCTCTTGGTTGGATCAAGCAAGGGCAAGAAATGGTCCCGTTACTTAAGATGTCAAAGGCCTAATGGCTGTTTCTTCTCATCACTTGCACTTTAAAAAATAAAAAACATAGGCAAGTCTACCACATGGGTCATTTCAAGTCAGCTCTTATCAAAGCTGTGTAAAAAAAAAAAAAAAAAAAAAAAAAAAAACTCATGCATCATGCTAACAGCCTTCTAGAAATAGTTGAATCCTCCTGCTGTCATCATGAATACATTACCAGTGATAAGTTTTTCATTACTTACTGTGTGTCCACACAAAGAGGGAGTGAACTGGATTCGGCACTTACTCAAAAGTAGGGCTGCCACAAACGATTATTTTGATAGTCGACTAGTCACCGATTATTTTTGCGATTAGTCGACTAATCAGATCCATTGGATCCATTGGACGTACAGCTTATTGCAGCATGCATCTGCTCTTATATAACTATCATTAGCTTACAGCTTTAAGTGTTTAAGGTATGTGCTAACTAAAAATAAAGACAAGGTGATAGTTTATTAAATTTTAATGAAATTTGCAGATTGTTTCGGTGAAGTTTAATAAACTCCTTGCTATCTAAAATATAACGGGACACCGGAGTATATTCTCGAGCATCTCACACTGATAATCAGTTGTCTGCTTGACATTTATTCAGCTGTGTAAAAACTATAACTTTAATCTCAGCCAAACCGATTTACTCAGGAACAAATAAAATACTACAAAAAGCCAAACAATAACATTTTTAAGTTATCTAAGTGACTTATATATGTTTAACCTGAGTAGCGAAAGACGGTGGTGGGTTTGAAAACGATTTGCCGGGAGTCTGGTGTTCTCATCGGCTCTAGTGAGCCTAGCCCCCGGCTAGCTATCGAGCTAGTGGGTAACAGACGTCTCCGAAAACGTCGGAGCGCTTTTGAAAAATATGTGGTGTCTTGATAAACTGAGCAAATATTTGAGGTTTACACAGCTACATTCTCGCCTGAAAATATGTTAAACGTTTATTTTGTGACCCACAAAGAATAATAAGAGTAATATTAAAACTAACTAGCTGCCGCCATTGTTGGAAACTGAGCTGGGCTGCGCTATGAATTCTGGGACAGAGTTACTTCTTCTTCTTCGGGGTTTAACGGCAGCTGGCATCCTTGTACATGCAGTGCTGCCATCTTCTGTTTCAGTCCGTTATTACACTCTTAAATCCTACTACTTATTCCTGCGTCTTTTGCGATCTTACAAAGCTTCAAACGACGCGTCGACTATTAAATCAGTCGTCGACGATTCTGATGGTCGACGTAATCGTGACTAGTCGACTAATCGTGGCAGCCCTACTCAAAAGACAAAGTTTTCACACGTGGATGATTTTTGATGAGTCGTATGTCTCAGCATAGCAACTCTGATGAGTTGTGTCATGTTATTATTTTCTTTGCCTCCTCCCTATCCCTTAATCACACTTCTACGAGAGATTCAAGAAAGTAAAGGCAGAAAGGGTGTGGTTGAAACAGAAAGCAAATCAGTGGAGAAGCTCAGCTGTTAATTAGGCAACGTGAGGTCTCTCAAGAAGGGTGGTTTTGCATATGTTGAGTTCAAAATCCATGCTTTAGTCACTGTGGTTGCTTTTCTTTGTTCACTGCTTTTGAAGGATTTTATGCTCTCATGAGTTGCGAATGTTGTGCAACCCTGGCGCCTGTGAGCACTTTTGCAAAAAACTGCATAAACTGAAAAAAGCATGGGCGTTTGAGACAACTGACACTATTATTCTTCCCTCTTTGTTCCTTGAAAGTTGACATTTCCCAGGTTTTCATCTGACAACAACACTGTACGAACCAAACGACGTGTTGTCGGAATAAGTCACTCAATTTTTAACAATGTTAGTTTTGTTTTAGTCTTCTGGAAGATGAACAAACTGTGAATTCAAACTTGTCAGATGAACTTGCAGTACTCTTTAGGGTCCCTTCAGATTTTTGCCCTGCTCTCCCAAGCACACCCCTCCCGCTCCCTCGT